CTAATCTAATGACTAAACCTAGTCAAAAGTTATCAACCAATCAGACTTCCACGACTGACCGATGAAAATGCTATGAAATCTAATTGGCTCAGAGGGAACTGCACCTGTTCCTTTGACAATCAAAGATGGATCTGCAATTTTGTTACAATTTAATAATATTTAGTCATATTAATTAAATGTATATTAGAAATGGCTAGGAATGGGGTGCTTGGATGATTTGTACAAATAAATAACCTAGTCTGTCTAACTGGTTGGTCAAACCTCTCTGAGCGATTTATCTAAACAAACAAAAAAAGTAGCCTATATGATTCGGTTCAAGTGGTCATACATGTATTGACGTTTTATGTTAAAAACAAAACATTAGGCCTATTTATGCATCTGTAACTGCAGTTTAAATGCATCCATGTCCCCACTGCTAAACCATCCCAGTTGCTCAAAAAAAAAACTTTCGTTCTATATTACTATTAACATATACATAAATAAAAATCTAAACATGAACATATATATTATATATATATAAAATTATAAAAAATGCATTTTATGATGAACGCAGTAGGCAGTATAAGCACACGTGACGCGCTAAACACCCGCATCTGCGCCTGCGCCCGTGCTCGCTCCCACCTCATGTTTGCGGCTGAATACAAATGATCATTATAATTAATGGACAACTAGGCTATATCAGGGAAAAGACATATCTGCGCAGTCCGGCGCAGAGGAAAGGGAAAAAAAAGCCCGAGATGAAGCCCGTGCATCACAGGTAACTACGTTCATAATCCTGTGAAACTGTTTTAATGTCGGTAATAATTTCACCACCAACAACAACGCATCTGACTTAATATTCTAGTTTCCATGACTTAAAATAAAAACTACGAGGCAATATATGGTATATAGTTTAAATATGGTTTCACTGAATAACACTGTTAAAATACATAAAGTAATACAAAATAAACAATTTACATTATTACAAATGCCACCAAAGGCCTGATAATTGCTTTTGTTACACTTACTGGACGATCAAATCCTTGTTTAATATTGACCAAA